AGATCTACCTAATATGCCCCAATCAGAACTCCCGGTCCTGCAAGGGCCCTGCCTGGTTCTACCACACCAAGGCCCGTCCTCCCTCCCTCGTTTCAGGAAATGGAACTGCCACCTGCCTAGTGTCTCAAACCTCAGCTTGATTCCCGACTCCTCTCTTTCTCGCTTCCAGTTCATCAGCACATCTTTTTGGTTTTATTTCAGAATTTATTCCAAACTCAACTGCCTGCTCACCAACTACTCCTGCCACCTGGGTCTGTGTTACCCTCGCCGCTCACCTGGACCACACAGGAGCTTCCCAAGGGCCTCCTTGCTCCATTGAGCTCTCTTCGGGCCATTTCCCATAAAGCAACCAAAGTGATTTTTAAAAAGACAAATCAAATAATTTCTTACTTAAGCCCACTGATGGTTTCTCTTACGTTAAGTTCAGGCTCCTAACTCTGGCCTAGAATGACCCTCATGATGAGGCCCAAGCTCATCTCAGATCCCTCTCCCCATCACTCATGACAGTCCAGCCACTCCTTCTACCTGCTCCTCTGGCTTTGAAGCACACGCTGCCCCGGGGCCTTTGCACTTGCTGTTTTCCCCTACCTGGCTGCTCTTCATCCAGAGCTTCACCTGGCTGCCTCCTTATCACTCAGCACGCATCTCAAGTGCCACCTCCTCAGCGGGCTTCCCTGCCCATCCTATCTCTTGTTGCCCACTCTCCACCCCAGCCACTCTCTGTCACTTTACCCTGTTTTATCTTATCGGCAACATTATCACTGTAAAATTTTGTTATCAGGTTGCTCGGTTATTGTCTATCTCACACCAACAGAATGGAAGCTCCCTGAAAGCCAGCTCTGTCTTGTCCATCATTGTGTCCCCGCCACCTGGCACAGTGGCACATGAGAAGGACACATGTCACATTTGTCAGATGAATCACTGGCTTAATGACCCTTCATCAGCATCTGAATCTCTGTCACCACCTCTAGGCACCATTGTCTTCTTATATCAAGAAGCACAGCCACCTGAGTCCTATGAGCCCAAGCAGAGCCACAGCCACACCCCCACCCAATACTCCTCAGATTCACCGTGGTGACTCCAGAAGACCTTCCCACTCTCCCACACTGCCAACACTCTCCCCTTCTAATCTGCACAACTTGCTGGAGGGATACAGAGCAAGGAGAGGAAGAATGTCTGCAAGAGAAAGAGGCTGGGCCAGAAATGACAAATAGAGGAATTGAGTCAGAGTTTTAAAAAAGAGAAGCAAACGAGACTCAAGAGGAGAAGTGACCCAGCAGGCCAAAAGAGTGAACAATGTGAGAAAGAACACACACACACACACACACACACACACACACTCCCTATGAAAGAAAGAGAGAGAATTCCAGGGACCAGACAAAGACCCTTTGTCAAATAAGGGATGGGTCCTGTGCCCACGGGGGAGGTGGCACTGACAGGCCAGGTGGGCAGCTGGCCAAGGCCAGGAAGGCCTGCATGGGGGCGGAGCACATGCACACCTGCCCCTGACCCCGTGCTCTGAACCCTGTGAGGGTCTGCACTGACCTACCTGCTCTGGCTCCAGGTGGGCGGCTCCCTCTTCACTGGCCCCGGCAGCTTTGATGGCCTCGTCCACGGGGCCAGACTCCAGGGTGACGCTGAGCACGGCATCATAGACCTCCCGAAGGGGCCCACCGAGGCCCAGGGCTGGGTAGGAGCGGTTCCGGTAGGGCAAGGCGAAGAGCATGGTGTCGTAGGGCAGGAAGACCAGCCTCCCATCTGCCAGGCCCTGGGCCCACGCTTGTCTCAGAAGGGCCATCTGCTCAGAGCCTCCCAGGAGCGCCGGAGTGCATGCACAGCACCACGACTGGAGGCAGACGTGGCAGGCTCACTTTTGCAGCCTTCCCTGGAGCCCAGAAGTCAGTGGCCCGGAGCTCTCAGGTCCTCCCCCGCCCTCTGCTGCCACTGCCAAGCGCCCTCCCTCCCCATCAGTCTGGGAAAGGAGAAATACGCCCTCTATCTGCTCCCTCTGTAACCATAACACCCAGGACCACCCAATCCCACCTGAGACTAGCTCCCTTCCAGCCGGCGCACCCAATCATCATGACCCACTTCCCACCCTCCCTGTGCCCTGCTGCCTCTGACAACTGCTAGTGTCTACTGACAGCTTGCTCTTGTTAGCCTGAAGTACTTTTGCAAACATTTAGTCATTTGATATTACAACAGTGCTAAGAAGTATGTGTATCATTATCTCTACTTTCAGATGAGGAAACCAAGGCCCAGAGAGGTTAAGGAGTGGCCTCAGGTTCCTGTTGCAAGCCCTTTCTCCAAAAAATCCAGGAATATGGAACCACCAAGGAAGGCCGATGGTCTTGCTGGGGCCTGAGGACCCCCGTCATGTGGAAGCCAGAGCCTGAAGCCCAGCCTCTGCTGAGCCTGGGTGGCCATGCTATGTGGACATGGGTGGGAGCCACCCCATCTTGGTCTCAGAATAGTAAGAAAGGTCCTCGGAGAGAGACCCACCAGGACTGAAGGGACACAGAACCAGGGCTTCCTTTGTCCCTTTTCCTCTGCCTGGCTTCTGTTCCACTTCTCACCAAACCTCCCCTCTCTCTTGCTCGGAGTTGGAGCTGTTCTATAATTGGCCACACGAGGGAGCTAATGCACAAAACTGGGGAGGCTAATGGGTAAACGCCTACATTGATTGTAAGCAGTGCTCTCTGTGTGCAGGGCAGGGCTCTAAGCCCTTTATCTCCTCCTCACAGACCATGAAGTAAGGACTTTTATGAGGTTCATACCATTGATGAGGAAATTATAGCACAGAGAGGTTTAGTGACTTGCCTGAGGTCACACAGCTGGTAGGAAGTGGGTCAAGTGTGGGATCCTGGCTATCTGAGTCCAGAAAATGTGCCCCTAACCACTCTGCATCCTGGCTCCTGCAAGTCAGCACAGTGGCTGGAACGCAATCTCCTGCAAGTGTCGGAGAGGGAGTCTGATGAGCTTCCCCCACCGACTGCCACCATGCTCCAGCCACACAGAGGTGAACGGCTCGTTCCCCCAGTCCCGTTAACACACTAGCTCCATTGCTTTGCGCTAGCTGACCCCTCTGGTTGGAATGCCTTCCTCCCTCACGCCCTCCTGCAATCAACTTCTCATTTTCAGGCTCTGCCCTAATGTCACCTCCTCTGTGAAGCCCTGCCCACCCCCGCGTAGATCAGCTCCCCCAGCCTCTGGGCTCCTCTGTTGTCTAAATACACATCTGTCTCCTGCCAGACTCCAGCCTCCCTGCTGGGACCCAGCCAGCTCCTCCCCCATCCCCAGAGCCTTGCTCAGTGACTCTTGGCTGAATGTTTACACAGCACTTGGTGACATACATCTGCTCCTTGGGGGGTGAGTTTCCTCCTTCTCCTTTCACTTGCTGGAAAACCTGGGCTCGGAGAAGCGAGGCCCCACCCCGAGGGCAGCGGGAACACCTGGGCCAGGTCCCTTGCTCCACTCTGCTCTAAGTCACCACCCAGCCACGCGAGCTCGGGGGCTGCCAGCCCACCCCTGCTCCCTGGAACTGGCCTCAGTGCCCCCGGATCTAGAACTTGGTGGTTGGTCTCAGTGGTTTCCAAACTGTGCCCAATGGTAAGAAATACATTTTACCTTTGTGTGCTCTCAAATGAGTATATGAAACGTGAGTGCACTCACAAAACTGAAAGGAGATTTCCAAGAGCGAGACTTCATCCTGCTATCTGCAATGCACTCTCCCATTCACTACTTGTATTTCCGTTCTGCTTCATTCTTCTCTATCGCTTTCGGTTTCATTCTCTTTCTTATTGTTGTAATGCTGGTCTGATTCACTAAGTTAGTTTATGGCCCCAAATGGCCCACAGTGTGAAAACCCCAGTCTAGATGAACTCTAAGATCCCTTTTGTCTTCCAGGTGACACCTCTTCCTATACCCCGCTCTGCCATGCATCTCCCTGGGTAACCACTTCCTTAAAGACATGTCAAGTGTCACCTCCTCCAGGAAGCCTCCTCCGGTCCTCCAGGGCCCAGCCCCGTGCCCCCTCCGATGCTCCCGGCCTCTGCTTCTTGGGATGATCTTGACCTCTCTGTCATAAGCACCTGTCTGTTCAGCACCCATGCAACCCAGCACCCAGCACAGCAGGGGCTTGATAAATTCAGAAAGCGATCAATCAATCAAGCAAGCAAGCAATCAATGAATCCATGAAAGTTCTGAGTCTAATTCCAAGAAACAAAGACTGGCTCTAACTCCCTCCCTGAGGCTCCCTTCCTACGCTCTCATCCCCTTCTCTGTACCAGGCAAGGACTAAGACAGCCCTTGGCTCCCACTCCACAGCTGATGTTTGAATCAGAACTCAATCTCTGCTGAACTTGCCAGCTGTGTGACTTGGGCATGTTACTTCCCTTCTCTGAGCTGCAAAGTGCAGGCCTCAGCAGGACTAGCTCACAGGGCTTCTGGGAGGTTAACGCGGGGTCAAGTGCTCAGCCCAGCGTCTGATGTGGAGGGAACTCCCCGTCAGCGGCCACATGGAGTCCAGGCCACCCACAGGAGGGCGGCACCACGTGCACTTACCCTTCAGGCCGTCCACGCCGCGCAGCTGCTTCAGTATCTCTGTGGCCCCCTGCTCCCCGGGTCCCAGAGCAGCCACCAGCACCACAGGCAACCCGTGTGTCCTGAGAGTCACGGCCACCTGCCGGGCTGTAGCCACCCAGATGTCCTGGTGGGAGGACACGATGGCCACACGAGCCCAGCCGAAGTATTTCATGACGGACAGCAGCACGTGGGCGGCCGAAGGCAACGTGGGCACCAGCTCACCTCCTCCCAAAGGGGCCTCGCATGCCCAGGAGAAGAGGGTCTTGCCCCAGCCTTGGGCCAGCAGGGCTGCCGCTGGGCAGTAACCAGGGTTGACAGGACCCACGAAAGCAGCTACGGTGTTCTGGTGGACCAGAAACGTGGCCAGGGCGCGAGGCGTGTCACAGCCCGTGGGCAGGACCACGGAAGCCAGCCGCGAGCCCAGCATCAGTGAGGAGTCCTGGTTGGCTCGGTCCATAGCCAGCTGGGCGGCCACTCTTGGGAGAGCCTGGGCAAAGATGGGGTCACAGTCCCAGGGACCCAGCACCCCCAGGGTAAACGTCCCCACCCCCCAGGCCCGACTGGGGAGGGAGCCAGCCCACAGGAGGGCACCCCAAAGAACCACAGAGAAAAGCGGCAGGGAAGGGGCTCTCCTCGGACAGATGAAAGGGGACCCCCGCAGACCCGGGCAAGTCTTCCCGTGGGGCCGCCTCCAGTGCCAACCTTCAGGGTACAAGCCCTCCTGCGGTCCTGGGAAGGAGGAGAACAACAAGGTTTCCAGCATCTTCGGCCAGCACTTTCAACATAATTTGGAGACAGCTCCCTACACACACACACACACACACACACACACCCAGAAACTCAGCCTCCTCATTAGTAAAACAAGGGATTTGGACCCGTGATGTTGGGAGGCCCCATGATGCCCACGCTTGGTCCTGGGCTGGCGCTCGGTGGCTCAGCGTATGGGCTCTGGAGCTGGAGCTGGCCAGACTCGCTCACTGCTTCCCATCCTCGTGGCCCTACACCAGTCTCTGAAGTTTTCCAGCCCCATCTTCCTCTTTGGTAAAATGTGGATAATGAAAGTTATTTGATGGAGTTACGGTGGGCATGATGTGAAGCACTTATCACAGTCCCTGGAACTTAGGTGTCCCATAACCCTACCTCTGTCCATCTATTGCTATTATTTCTCTGTGCACTCGCCCTCCAAGGTGGGCCAAGTTCTCCTGGTGCCTCGGAGCCTCCCTGCCTCTTACCCTCAAGCCCAGCACCGTTCCATGGCACCTGACCCTGCTGGAACCCATGGGTCCCCCGGTGTAAGCAGGGCCTGGGTCAGGTAGTCCCCCGTCGCATGTCTGTGGCTAGAGGGCTTACGATGCATGTGCACAGTTCCCTCTCGGTCCCCACACAGCCCTGTGCAGTCAGAGGACTTTCTATCCTTATTGTGCAGATGAGGAAACACAGGGGAACTGAGGGGAGGGCCTCTGGACTGGGGCCTCCCTACTCCGTCCTACTGTGCCAGGACCTCGATGCCGTCCTGCAGCCGGGCAACCCTGCCTGGCCTCTGCCTGCATCCCTAGCATTGCCTTTCCCCACCCACGGGACTCAGCCAAGTCCCCCCACAACGCTCATGCAGCCAGCAGCCTTCCACCTGGGTGCCCCAGGAAGGCATGAGACCCCTCCTCACCCTTCAGAAGCTGCCAGGCTGGTAGGGAGGCGGGTCCCAGCCAGGAACAGAGCTGACCACAGTGCGGGCAGTAGGCAGGGCCAGTGGGGAGGCTCTGAGGGCCTCCTGAGGAGACTCAGGGAGGGCTTCCCAGGGGAGGCCCAGCTGGAACTAGCTGACCCTGGGGAGTGTAGAGCGAGAGAGTGAGAGTAAACCCTCCCGATGCCAACAGTGATGGCCTGTGCAGCGTAGCTTCCTAGAAATTACGTTCAGAGCAGAGGAATAAGAGGGGCCCTGGAATCACACAGACGAATCCATCCTACTTTTATCCCTCACTGGCCCCTAACCTTGGGCAAGACGCTTAACTTCTCTGAGCCTCAGCGTCCTCATCTGTAAAATGGAGATGAGAACAGCCACCGGTAGTGCTGTGTGAAGACTGCAATGTGGAGAGCACAGTGGGGATACTCACTGTGTAAGTAGGTGAGTAAGCAGCACTTACTAATGGGAGTAAGCAGGTACTTTCTAAACGGCACAGTTACCACCGCCATCACTATCTGTGGGTCTTTGGGGGGAGGCAGGTGCACTGCGTGTAAAGAGAGCTGGCCGGGAGGTGGGAGTCTGAGTTCCAGCCCCAGTCCCGCCTCTGCCCCACTCAGAGCCTCGGCCCCTCAGCTGTAAGGAAGCCAGTTTGCAGAGCTGGCCAACTGTGGTTCCTCCGGGTCTGTGATGCCAGGGTTCTCCCAGCTCAGGGCTCGGTGACGTGGGGGACGGCTGCTCTTCCGCCAGCCTCTGAGGAGCCCTCTGCACCCTCCCTCCTCTTCTGCCATGATGCTCCACGTGGTCTCCTAGCAGCCTGCCCCCCCCCCACCCCCACCCCCCTCAGGACGAGCCCCTGGGAGGAGCTGGGCTTGTTCTGGGCTCACAGAGAGCTAATCATTTCTGGGTGGGAATGTCAGCGTATGTGGCTGATACTAATGACAGCCACCTCGCCCCTCAATTTGTACTTTCCGAAGCACTTGTGACCCACTGCTCTGCCTGTATTCCCCGAGGCCCTGAGTAGAGGCAACCTGACTGAGTGGGACAGTGACTGTCTGAGGTCCCACCGAAAGTTAGGGCTGAGCTGAACTAGGGTTTGGCTTCCCATGGCCCAGGCAAAGGCAAACTCACCTCTTTTTATTGAATGCCCCAAACATCAAAACTGAAGTATCCTGGGAGAGCTAAACACCTAAACCAAGTCCTCTGTGTACAGGTGGGGAAACCGAGGCGCCGAAAGGAGGAATAAGAAGGGCCTTCTCTAGGTCCCGCAAAGCAGCAGCAGGCTCCCCTGGCCCCACTGTCCTGCTGGCCACTCTCAGTGTCTGGGAATTCGGCATCTGATGGGCTGCAGGGGCTCACAGAAGGCTGAGGCCTGTAGCAGGGTCAGCCGGGGGTGGGGGGTGAGGAGGGGCAGGGCAGGAGCCAGCGTTAGCTGCATTTCTGCTACTGATTTGTGGGATGGAGTTCACATTTCTTTCTACACCTCGGTTTTTCCATTTGTACAGGGAGGGCTTAATTTAGATGTTTAGGTCTCCAAAGATCCTCAGCTCTGATGTCCGGGTTATTAATAAATATCAGGAGACTTTTGTCTCTGAAGCTGGCCATGTCCCCTCTCCCAGGAGTATGTGGGCTGCCCGTGCTCCCACCTCCAGCACGATGGGCTAATGCACACCTTCCCGGAGATAGATCACTTGGATTTTTAACCACAGATTGCTTGGCTCATAGAGCCAAGTTCAAGGAGTTAGTTAACTCCATACGATCATAACCCAAAAAGATAAAGAAGCCTTTAGCTACATTAACAGACTAAACCCCCCAAATAGGGAAGATGCCAGGAAGCCAGGGAATGGGAATGGGGGATTCCTGTCAGAGTCAAGGCTCCTCCCACCTCTGTACCCAAGGGTCACCCTCCTGACCCCCACCCTGGCCCTTCTTGCCTTCCTTCAGGACAAGATCCCTGAAGACCCACCTGCCACACTGCGCTGTTGGGGCTGACTCCCTGCCTCTTTGGGGCTCTTAGGCTCCCACACCAGGGTCCTCGATGTCAAGCTCTTCAAACAGGCTCTGGCCTGGGGAGCCCCCATTGTCACGACAGCCTGTGTGTCACCATTCTTGCTGCCCTCGGCTGCCAGTGACTCCTGCCTGAGGCTTCATATATGGCTCATTCCCTCACTGCCCCCCTCAGGAACCTGAAGAAGCCACGTGGAAAATTGGATCTGTTCAGACTCCAGGGCTCTGGGGAACCAAGCCAGAAAGGAAGGAGGGAATGAAGGAGAGAGGACCTGAGGGAGGAAAGGAGGGAAAGAAGGGGGGAGGTAGGGAGGGAAGAAGGGAGAGAGGGAGGGAGGAAAGGAGGAAGGGGAGATGTCTTCAGCACTCCGGACAGCTCCAGACCTGGCTGGGGACTCCCAGGAGGAAGGATGAGCCAGCACTAAAGAACCCAGCATTATTGAACACCCACTGTGTGCCAACACTATTTATACAACCCACTGAGACAGGTATTATTATTATTGTATTTCCACTTTATAGATAAGGAAAGTATAACCCAGAGAGGTTAGGTAATTTGACCAAGGACACAGAGCTAGTAAGTGGAGGGGTGACTATAGATCCAGGTTTCTGCTCATCATAACACATTGATTCTTTGGGAATTATCATGAAGGCTTTCCTCTCTTCCCTTTTAGGGTGGATCCTTATGGGTAGATAGACACCACTCTCCAGTGGACTGACAGCCCTTCCTCCCCGACCTGCTCTCTTCTACTTAGGTCAAATCAGCTTTCACTAAGTACAAGAAGTATCTACCAAGTGGTAGGGATCATCCATACCCCCTCTCCCTTAACCCTTACAACAACCTTGTGAAGTGAGTGTTGTATTTTGCCTTCTTCACATCACTTTATCCATTTAGCAATATTTACTGAGCACCAACTATGTTTCAGGCATGTTCACTTGAGCTACATCAACAACAAAACAAAAAAACCCAAAGTTTTTGCCCCTCACAGAGCTAACTTTATAGCAGAAGTAGGGAGTGATGTGTGTGAGTGAACAAGCAATACACATAACAAATAAGTAGATTTATCTTTTCTGTTGGAAAGTGATAGGTGGCATAAAAAAGAAAAAAGCAAAGACTGGCAATAATGTCATATTATAATCCATATAAGTGTTTTCCATAATTCTACACAAGCACATTGAGTGAATGTGTTATAACTTAGAAAATATATTGTTATTGGATATTTTTATTTAGCCCCTTTTTTTGCTGGAAAGATTTTAGGGCCTCTGTTGATGTGCCAGACATATGCCTGTTTGCTCTCAGATTATTCCCTGCCCTTCCCAAACCCTATAGGGCTCCCAACAGGGAGGTGAGGGAGGGACCTGTGTCCTGCAGGTGCTAACCCTGAAAACTTTACCACTGGTTTCTGGCCAGATTCAGCCAATTGGAGACACTCACAGGAGATTGGAGGACAAGAAAAAGGGAGAAGCAGGGAGAAGCCCCCCCCCCCCTCTCTCTCTCTCTCTCTCTCTCTGTGTGTGTGTGTGTGTGTGTACCTTGGACAATGTGCCAACAAGGGCTGGGTCTCCTCTCTGGTTCTGGCCTCTTCAGATACCCCTTCCCATGTGGCCCCAATGTCTAGAACCAGGTACCACCACCTCCTTCCTCCCTTTGTCCTTCCCCAGCAGGAGTGGGAGAGACTTCCTGCTGTTACTGATCTCTGAATGGCTTCCAATCCCAGCACCTTCGCCATCACTTCCCCATTCTAATTTCCCACTGCTGCACTACTGGCGAGGACTCCGTTTTCCAGAATGCACCCTGACTAATACCCTACATATCTGATTTTTTTTGCAATTTCTCTCCATTGTAAGCAACTTTTTAATAGATACCATGCTTTTGTAATCTTTTGAATTTTTTCCTTAGGATAAATCCTCAGAAATAGTCATATTGCAAGTTCCAAAAAATCTAGTGGATCAAGATATTCTTTAGATAATTGGAGATATTTGAATATGAACTGAGCATTAGCTATATAGATTACTTTTAGATTTTGGGGTATGATAATGGCAAGGTGGTTATGTAAAAAATTAGACATTTTTTGTAGTAG